ATTGCTCCTGCCCAGTCGAATAAGGCTGGACCTGACTAGGTTGCAAGACTCCCAAAGAAGCCCCTTGCTGAGTACAGAAACGTCTGATATGCCCTGGTTGATTACACACCCAACAAGTAAACAGCTCCCAAGCACGAGACGGATTCAAAGTCTGAGCTGATGGAGGCCCCAACAACTGCCTCCCCACTGAACTTCCAGTCGACCTAAAACCTGGCTGGTTAGGTAATGCTGATGGCACAACTAATAGTTGAACTGCTAAACCTGCCCTCTTCCTCTGTGGGCAAACCGAAGACTTGTGGCCCAGCAGACCACACCTGAAACAAGTAACACTCCTCTGTTTACTTCCTCTTGAACCCAAATCCGACATTGGAAAGGTAGCTCTAGACCGACCTCCATGTTGCGTGTTTAGAACCCTCTGCCTCTTAAAAGGCCTACCAACACCCTGAGTTATAGGAGTCGCCGAGATGGCTTCCTCCCCACTCTGCCCCATAGCTAGCACCGCTACCTCAATATGAGCTGCAGCCCCAACAAGCGCACTATAGCTCCTACGCCAAGACCCCGCAATCTTTCCTCGGATGCCGTCACACAGCCTACTCTCAAACTCCGCACAACGCAATTCCTCCATTTCCACCAACTCTGGGGCAAACCTTGACAAGTTAGCAAACCATGCCTCAAACTGCACCAAAGGAGTAGTACCTTGGCGCAACTCCACAAACTGTTTCCGCAACTCTTCCCTTGTGGAAGGAGGGAAATCAAAATTTCCTCGTCTAGGCATCCTAGAAAAAGTAACAAAGGTATTAGCACAACGACAACGGTGCCAAAATTATTTCACTTGCGTCCTAACACGATGGACAGCTGTAATTCATTCCACGTAAGCACATAAACACATAAGCACTTACGAATTTCATTTCTGGATAATGATAGTCCCGAGGCGTTACTAGAGTTCTGGTTAGAAACAGCATTGATCAAGTGCTTTTCCAACAAGACTCACTGAAACCCAAGGGTCTAATCAACATCCTAGAAATTGAATCTCATACCCAAGTAGTCACATAAACATGTTATCACATAAGCACATAACATTACATCTAAGTCTCTAATCAAGCGAGACAAACCCATTGTGATACTAATCACTTCCCACGTACCCAAAGTATTCGAACCCGGTACGCTCTGATACCAAGTAGTAACGCCCTCTGGGTGATTTCCCCGCTCGAGCGCCAGCACCCCCGCTCGAGCGGGTAAGCAACAACAAAGGCCCGCTCGAGCGTCAAAATTGTCGCTCGAGCGAAGAGACCAAAAACTGGGCAAAGATTTTACGTTTTAAAACACAACCAACTTATTCCCAACTTGCCCAACAGAACCCAAAACTCGAACACAAAGAGTAAGGGATAGAAAGACGATAAGACAACCGCACCCTTATGGAACCGAGTCCGGATTATAGTTAAACATAAAAGGAAAAAATTACATGTAATACATCAAGAAAGTAGACAACAAAAATGTCTGTCCGCCTTCTACCTCCCAAGCTATGTCCTTGGAGGTGGCATGCTACCTGTACCTGAAATGATGTTCCCATATAGGGAGAGCCACAGCCCAGTAGAAATACATTAAACCAATTATAAACAATGACTAAAATAATAGCATTCAACAGATGGTCCACACTTATATTCCCACTTATACCATGTTACAGTTTCATGACAATCATGTCCAAGTTACATTTCACTTTCCGTTTCTTATCCAATTCTCAATTTATACCATAGTTCAGAACCCATCCAAACAACTTATATGAGACAATAACTCATCTTTAACATTTTTTCATTTCTAGCTATATCAATACTTCAACAGATAAACACACAAGCTGCATTCACACTTCAAAGGATAAGCATATGAGTTATATCAACACTTCGAAAGATAAGCATATGAGCTATATCAACACTTCGAAAGATAAGCATATGAGCTATATCAATTTCCGGTTTAGAGGTCCAGCCATTTTCTTCCAATAAACCGTTTGGTTTAGAGGTCCAGCCCATTTCTTCCAATAAACCGTTTGCACAAAACAACATATATATATATATATATATATACACATCGGTAGTATACATAATCAATCAATACATAAAGTTAATGTATTCTTTCAACCGTCATACTCTATGACACAGCCAATTGATTAGTTTTAGTTCGCCTAATCATCATGCATTGTCTACAACAATCAAAACTACCCTTCACCTGTAGCCCAAAGCGATTATTTCTAAACAGAAAATAAATGCATCCAACGGATATTGTAGTCAACATTTCAATTTGGTGAGCGATAAATGATTCAACTACACCCTTTAATCCCATACATTCCCAATCTCGACTTTCTCATTTCATTCCTCATTTCTCACAATTAATTATACAAATTAATTAATCAATGTAATTAGGGAATTTTCCATAATTAATATTGCAACCCTAAGGTTTCATTTTCATCAATGTTTCAACATTAATTCCATTTCTCCATGCCAAACATGCATATAGGTTTTATATAATTAAAACCCCAACTTTTGTAAAATTACACAAAGGCCCAAACTTTCTCAAAATTACCCAACAGCCCCCAACGTATCAAAACACTAAAATTTAACGACAAAGCTCATAAAGAGGAGTAGGATATCCCTACCTCGAATGATGAAATCCAACGAAGGAGATGAAGAAAACGAAAATGCTCCAAATCCCGAAATTTTTAGATTAAAAGATAGCCCTCGACGATCAACACAACTTTTGTAAAGGTTGGAGGTGAGAAAACAACTCCTACTAGATCAATCCTAAGAGAGAAGTTAGGGTTTTAGTGAGAGGAACTCTCAAAATAGCTTTCTGGAAAAGTAAGAGAGAGAAAGGATGTTGAAAAGTGAACAAAAAAGTCGGATCTCGGCTTTATATAAAAGTCTCCCCGCTCGAGCGTGGAAACCCCCGCTCGAGCGTCACTCACAGACTCCTGCTCGAGCGTCCAAACTCCCGCTCGAGCGGCGGATGCACACTCCCAGAACTTTTACAGACATGATCCCCGCTCGAGCGTCAGACACAAACTCCCGCTCAAGCGTCCAATCCCCCGCTCGAGCGTCTACCACTGCAGATGAAATACTGGATGGGTGATTTCCCCGCTCGAGCGCCAACACCCTGCTCGAGCGGATAAGCAACAACAAAGGCCCGCTCGAGCGTCAAAAGCGCCGCTCGAGCGAAGAGACCAAAAACTAGGCAAAGATTTTACGTTTTAAAACACAACCAACTTATTCCCAACTTGCCTAACACAACCCAAAACTCGAACACAAAGAGTAAGGGATAGAAAGAGGATAAGACAACAGCACCCTTACGGAACCGAGTCCGGATTACAGTTAAATACAAAAAGGGAAAACCGGGATCGCTATAACCTCCCCCCCTTAAAGAATTTCGTCCCTGAAATTAAGGATACGCCAAAACACAGGGTTAACAGATCACAGAGCATTCAATATCCAAGCCCCACGGAAAGAAATTACTTTCATAACAAACCTCCGACTCACTCTTACCAAGGAAGAGACTAACTAGGGGAACACGTTCTAAACGACAACACCTTAGGCACGTAAGCCTCAACAAACCAAACCTCCCCCGAAACAATTCACCAACAACCGACTAGTGCTTCAAGCTAAGTCACTACTCAACAACACGACCAAAGTAAATCTTTAGAGTAGATAATAAGAAAACATTTTCTTGTTCAAGAGGCATTTCTCAAAGATGTTTAAATTTTCAACGTTAACGTTCCGGAATAAATCTTGCATTTTCCATACGAAAACTCAAAAGCTTTGTAAACATTTTTCACAAATACGGTGCTACCCAAAACGCAGAGTCATCCACAGTTTATTTGCCAAGAGATTAATCTGGAATTCTTTAAAATCCTTGAATTAGATCAACTCTTCAACAATGCCCTTAGATGGTGCAAACACTGGAAAAATTTTGTTTTCCATTTCTTTCCAAAACATCACTATCCACCTCTCGTCCCACTTCCCAGGAAGGTCGGTGAGAGTGCCTTCCATTCCTGGTGTGCTGAGGGGCTTCGGGGATTGTTTTCCTTCCTCCTTTCTGGGTATTAATTGCTGGCATCGGCGTATCTTGCAGCGGGTATGGTGGCTGCATAACATTTTTCTGCATCATGAAGTTAACCACTGACTATAGGTCTGCCAACTTGTTCGCCAAATCTTTTACTTCCTCATCCCTCCGTAGGCACCTATCCCTCCATACCTGAAGGTTATCTTCGTTATAATACTTGCCTTGGTCTGTCTTCTTCGAAGTGTTGCCCTCCTAGCCGACGTCTTTCTCGATGTGGCCCTGGTCATGAGTTTCTGCATTGTGGTTGTCTCCTTCAATATCAAAGTCAATTGGACTGCCACTCCCAGCAGGAGTGTCGCCCCCAATGTTTTCCTTCTGTCCGTTACTGGCCATCTATTCTTCTAAGATTCCCACAGACGGCGCCAAATTGTGTGGGTAATTTTCTGACCACACTGCCCGCCTAGTAATCAGCTGGAGAACACCGGCAGAATAGATGGCTTCAGCAAACCTGTAATAGAAAGAAAAGGCTCTGGCGGTGGCTCTTCCACCCGGGGGCACTCCGATGATCAAGTCAGTATATCTCTCAAAGATAATCAAGTGCTAAACTCACAAGCTTAAGCATAAAACTGCGTACCTTAGAGCCACGGGGGTGCCTCTCTTTTATAGTTTACTCAATCCAAGTCCTACTAGAAGCCTGACTTCTACGGACTCCAATTCAATACTGACTTTGGACTCTTCAAGAGATAAAGATAAACCCCCTAAGAGTTTTATTCTTATCTTGGCTAAGTCTTCTCTTTACTCTAGGACTCTTGCCCTTTATCCATTTTCCGCTTATCTCGGATTCTGATATCTTCGGAGGAAACCTCGGCCTTGCCGAGATAACCTCGGCGTCACAACCAGGACACGTGGCACCTCGGCTGACACGTCGGCGTCACCTTGCCACGTGTTGGTATTCAGAAAATACATCCCCACAGCTTTGATATACCGAAATCAGAGATCTTCGCAGTCCAAGAATCATCCATCAGTATGTTTTGAGGCTTTATACCGCAATGAACGATACAGGCTTCACACTCCTCATGTAGATACAAAATCCCTCTAGCGATATCAAGAGCAATCTTCACTGTTTCTTTCCAACCAGGATGTCGACTCGTATCGTCCTTGAACAAAACATCCGCAAGTGAGCCATTATTCATGTACTCATAAACAAGAAGCTTCCTTCTGCCTTCCACACAAAAACCAAGTAATCGAACCAGGTTCCTGTGATGTGTTCGCCTGATTGCAGTCACCTCTATTTGGAACTGGAACTCCACGTCTCCCTCTTCCTCCACAATATTGTCTAGTCTCTTAACCGCAATATTTTTGTTACCTCCTCCGGATACCAAAGTTCCTTTATAAACTGTTCCAGAAGAACCCTTACCCATCTCTTCCCTGAAACCTTGTGTCGCTTCTTCCAGCTCGTTGTAAGAAAATGATCGCAAACCAAACTCATCAATAGATAGGCCTAATTTTGCATTGTCCGACAGCTTCTTATACTTGTGAACTCGGTGCCTGTACCAAAAGAAACTAGATATTGCAATGACAATACATAGGCATGCAAGGGAACCCAAACTTCCAGCAAGAATTGAAATAAGATGCCCTTTGTTTTCAGTCACAACCGTTGGACCGGATGGACTATCCGGGGCTATTTGATTTGGAATTTTAGCAGGAGCTGTTGTTGAAGTAAACTTAACAAAAGCTGTATATGTATCAGAATCGCTCAAGTTTCTTGTACCATATCTCAGTGGAAGCTTATGTTTGTTGCATTGCCCACTAACATACATTGCTGCCCCACAACGACAATCTTCTAGGCAAGATTTCTTGCAATCTTCCTTGTTATTTGCTGGTACAATCGAGTAAGCTAGGCCAAACCACCTCAATTTCTCCGAAGTCGTAATGTTCACTAAACCAAAACCTTCTTTGTTTCTGCAATGTTGTTCAGTAAAATTCATGTAGCAACCCAGGGCTTTTTTACTGGGGTTGACAAGAACAAAACCAGGATAACAATAGCAGTCAGCTTGTGTGCCGGTTGTGATTGAGCAGTAACTGTTGAATCCGCAGAAACCATAGACTTTGCAGTGATCCTGCAACATAGACCACTCAATCAACACGTTTGAGCTCGTACTATGGCTTGCAAATCTGTGTGAATACAACCTAAAAATCCCATCATCGTCAAGCGTTGCACGGTAAATTATGACAAGGGGGGAGGCACCGGAGGCAGAGGCCTTCGCCAAAGTGAGTAGTCGAAGACTACTAATAGTAATAGTCAAGTTGTAGTAGCCATTTACTCCTAGGAGTGAACTTTCTGAAGCAGAAGCGTAGGCAAAATCCGAGTCGGAACAGTTTATTGGGAAGGCAACGAGATTACCATCAACCTGCATTTGAAGACGATAACGACCACTTGAGTGGTCGAAGGAGCTTGATGCACTAGAAACTAGTCGCTGACCATGGAAGAGAGTTTGGTTTCCTAATATGGTGTCAGTTGGGAAATCACAGCTTTGCCAAATAACAGAAGAATCGTTGTTGTAGATTAGAAAATTGCCAGAGTCGAGCATTGAAGCAGAGAGGACACGACTCAGAGTAGTGAAATCAGCAATAGCCAACTCTGTGCCTTGCTGAGTATGGTTTAGAATGAGCCTACCGTCTCTGGTGAACTCAATTGTGGAGTTTGAGGACACAGGAGGGTAATCTCGATTTGCAGTCCAGACAACGGTGTTGTTTGGGTTCCCAATTATCCATATTCCTACTGCAAATCCATTCCTTTCTGGGTAGAAACCGAATGCGAAAAGGCCTGAAGGTGACAGCCATGAATTGGGTTTGCTGAGAGGGGACAGAAAAGAACCCAAACTTATTAGATTGGAGGTCTTTTTTTGAGCTTCTATGGCTGCAAAGAGGATAGAGAAGATCAACAGCACAACAACAACAACAATAGAAGCCATGAGAGAGAGAGAGTTTTTTTTTTTTTTTTTTTTTTTTTTTTTTTTTTTTTTTGTAGAATCACTAATAGAGCATACAGCTAATAGACATTTTCCAAGATCTAGTCCTACGGATACAGATGACATTTCAAAACATCTTCTTTTTTTCCTTTTTTTTTTTCCCTTTCACGAGAAACAAAAGGAGACCAACAACCTCTGTGCAAACATAAAAATTATTAAACACCTTGTGGAGTATTATCTCGTTGTTTTACCAATGAAAAATTACAACACACTCAGATAGGCGGTTGCCTAAGATCACTTTCCTTTGTTTTTTTTTTTTTTTTTTTTGAAAAAATTGTAATTCAATGTAAGTTTTCAAAACAAATTACAAATTTATCAACATTAATAATTAAAGTGATAAACTTTTCCATGATTTTATAATTTTTTTTGCCTCATATTTTTATACTCTTATATTACATTTGGTTCATTAGAATAAAAGTTGAACGTAATGAAATGACCATTCTTTTTTATAATGCTAAATAATGATTTTATTTATAATTTTTTTTCATTATTTTTTTAATGAACTAAACATGACATGGAATGCTTATTTCATTCCACCATTCCTGAGCCAAACACTACTTTTATAATGAATAATTCTATTTATTATTTTTTTTAATAAATTAAATATGAGAATGAACATTCTGTGAAAATAATCATTCGATTCTACCATCATTTCAATGAAGCCAAAACTACCTTAGTCCAAAGGGCAAAGTTTAAAAATAGTTATTGTCCAAAGGCCTATAAAATAAAAAGATTTTCTTGTCTAAAATCCAAAAAATAAAGACTTCATTTCAAATAGTTGGGCCAAAAAAAAGGAACAATATTATTGTCAAATGGCCTCGTAAATTTCTTATTTTTTTATTTTCCAAAGTCTCCCAATTTTAAAGGTTATAAGAAGATTGTAAAAGAATATTATTTTTTTTATTTTCTACTGTAACTTTTAAATTATTATATGATGATTTTTAAACTATTCAGACATTGGGGTGTGGTCCAATGGTCTACTAGTTACACCTTAGGCCATGTTTGTTTGGGTGGACATGAGCTTGGGATTGGATTAATAGTTCAATAAAATTATTAATTCGATGTTTGGTTAAACAATTGAAATAGAGACTAATTATTTTAAACTTGACTATTAGTTAAGATAAGATATATAATCCAACGGATTCGTAATCCTAAGACTATTAATCATGGGAATGCTAATCCAGTCCGCCCAAACAAACATGGCCTTAGGGTGTAGTGAGTGGGAGATCAAGGGTTTGAGTTGATGGAATAATGGTGGCCCTTCAGTTGTAATTTAATTATACTAACATACTAACATTATCTCAAAAAAAAAAAAAAAACTCTAAAATGAGATCCGATTGTCTAAAACTTAGATAAATGTATTCAAATATCATTAGATGTCTAAGTATTATTAATTTTTGAAAATTAATTATAATATATGATCTCTTGCACTTTTAGTAATAGTGTTAGTATCCATAAAAAAAATTGTCGGTAAATTATGAGTCAATTCTATGTGATGAGCTTAAATATTTGAAAGTCTTGGACACTTTTTTTTAATATATCAATAAATTTGAAAATACTTATTTTGTTTCTAACACTTTTTGACAATATTACTAGATAAAAAAAAAATGATCAAGATCTATAGGTTAATAAGTTTGGCTAATGGGATGAGAAATGTTTATTTTGTTATAACACTTTTTAAGAATATTAATAGATAAAAAAAAAATGATCAAGATTTATAGATTAATAAGTTTGGCCAATGGGATTGGTGAGTAAATCCCCAAAAATTATTCATTTGGACAAATTGATGGGGCTCTTGATTAAGAATAGTGTTTTTTTTTTTTAAATGAAAACAAAAAAGGGTCTCCTAATAGGGTCTAACAAATGGACTTTGAAAGGTCTAAAATACGTTGTAAGAAAAGGGCCCATATTTAAAAGTAAGGTCAAATTTTGCTTCCGCCTTCAAATTGACAAGATTTCTATTGGTTCAATTTATTATTTGACAAGTTGTGGATGAAATTTTTATGGATATATTAGTTTTAAAATTTGTGTTTTTTGCTGCTAATAATAGTTTAAAAAGGGATGAGTTTCTTGTGAGAATTTGAGAATCATGAATTAATAGATTGGGTTGTGAAAATAAAATTGAAAATGTAGACCTATTAATTTAGAGTAGTTCGTGTTGGGTACACTACAAGAAAAAGGACATACAGCGACATTTTTTTCTATGACGTTTTTCAAAAACGTCGTGAAATCTGTCCAGAATTTTCAAATTTCAAAAAAATTAAACTAAACCATCTCTCGTTTTGTGCCCCGGTTATTTCTTTTAAATAGTGGCTCAACTCAAGGCTATGACATTCTTTTATTCAGATTGAACCGAGGCGTGACTTCAGGAAGAGAGAGAAATCGAGGCATCAGATCTTCGAGGCGTTGGATCTTTGATCTCCATCAATTCTTCAGTTCACTACTGGAAAATCCACTTTTAGCGGCGTTTAAAAAACGCTGCTAAAAGTACTAAAAAACGTCGCTAATTCTTTTTGTGACGTTTAGTACCAAACGCCGACGACGCGGCCGTCGCTATAACTTTATGGCGTTTGAAAAACGTCATTATATTAGTATAGGTTATAAACGCCGCCAAATGTCCTACCTTAGTTGTACTGTGATATCACTATGACATTTAGCGACGTTTTTGAAAACGCCGTCATAAACATTTATACATTTTAAAAATCTAGCCGTTGGAGTGGGATATAATGACCTTTTTTAAATGCCGCCATGGCCTTTTTTTTAATTTTTATATTGTGCTAATTTTATATGATTGAACAAAAAAAAATACCTGTCAAACAATTACCAAGAACTAATAATTGATGATTATTAAAATAATAAATAAACTAAGCTTGAAAACAAAATTAAAAATAAGAAACAATGCATTGCATACCTAAGAATAGAAACAATTCAGCCTTTAAATACATCAATTAAAATCAAAATGGTCAAGAAGTATAATTTACCCAAAAAAATTAAAAAGGAATCGAAAGCACACTAATATGGTTTATAATATTAAAAATACCACTTGTCTTCCAACTATATCCAAAGATGAGCCTACACTATATGCAACAGATGATATATTTGGAACCATACAATACGCTATAATCCAATTAAACAAGATAAAAGGAATTAGAGGGGGGGAAAAGTAAAAGAACAAGAACAAATAAAAAAAGCTTCATCATATTCCCTCAAATGGCTTTTTCCCTCTCCTCTCACATAAATTCTACGAGTAGCAACTTCATATCCATCATGATGATCATTCAGAGTTAAATAGCTTCTCACAATCAAATAGAGTTGGGTTTCAAATTATTCTGTCTTGTCTTCTTCCAAATCACCGTTCGATACCCCGTTGTTTCCACCGTGTACTGATCCGACTGCAAGTGGACTTTGAATATCCTTTGAAGGCATAGGAGATGGTTTTATAAGTGTCAAAGTATTATCATCCCTGTCAAACTCTTCACTTGCTTCTCCCGAGTGAGTATAGCTGCCACATGTTTAGTCATTAGGCCCTAGCAGGGTTGAATGGGATACAAAGCACAAAATACAAAGAACACACATCACACCTTGACCTGCAAGTAAAATTTATTAAGATTCCTCACTATTTTCAATTTTCAAGAGCTAATGTCCATTACATTGGCACTATAAAACAGTTGATTCATTATCGTTGCCCCAATTTTAGGGCTGATAATGAGGCTAAAACCCTAACCTAAAGTAGCCACAATCAAACTTTTGCATAGAGAAGTATTTCACAAACCATAGAGCATAATTGAATTTCCTATTTCTAAATTCAATGGTCCTAAGAGCTAATGGGTAGTGAATAAAAAAATACATACGAAAAATTATATAGAATAACGCGTTGAGTTGTGAGCCTATCACTTTAAAATCAAAATCTGTCAAGGTGACTTTTACTTATAAAAATGTCATTGTCATCACCTGGATCCATGCTAACTAATGCCTTCACTAGTACTTGAAAAGCAATCTGAACAGAACATATGGACCTTCTTTAGTATAAGTAACATCTTTAAAGGGTTTAGAAACATAATTATTACTCTTACTAATATATTAATGAGGATTAGGGAACATAATTACTGCGTATGTAATATGGTTCATCATTACTTTGGACTATTAAGGATAGTTATTATGATCTTAGTTTATCAGGTAAAATAATTCATACGAAATCATGTTATTGGGTTCTAAACTAGCAAAGAAGAGTAGGAAAGAACAGAAAGTCTAGGGGAGATTAACTGTGAATTGTTTGGAATAATTCAGCACTTCGCATACTATATGGGAAAATCAAGATTTTCTGTCTCACAAAAATGAGTGATCTGCTTAATGTAAAAAAAGGGGGATAAATTGAGACAAAAAAAAGTCCAGAGAATTCAATAGAACAGCTTAGGTCACCCAATCATATATAGTTTGCAGACTGAAGTCTGATGCGCCACGTGTAATTGGAACCTACAGCTGTTTCTAGACCAGCAATCAGTTTGTCTAACTATTAATCATGTAATATAAATGTACAAACAACTTTCACAAGCAGCACAACATAAAGTAAACAAAATTCCAGTACAAGCATTGAGAAATCTGAGATCTAACAAGGTGAGAATACAAGGCGTAAGCAAATACAAACCTGAGACGTAGCTAAAGTGTTGTTGTTTGCCAAAATTGCATCAACAGGTGATTTACTGAGTTGGCTTGGGTCAGAAGTAGTTCTATTTCTTCTAAAGGAAGGAATAGCTCCTTTGGACTTGTGTGCTTCTGCTGCTTGTTCACATATCTGCAATAATTGGAAATATGCATAGCTTACATATATATATATATATATAGAGAGAGAGAGAGAGAGAGAGCAATTGATGCAGTCAAGTTGATGTGAGACCCATGATAAGACGATAAATTGATCCACATTTACATAAATAAAATAATTTTTACATCAAATTGGTGGAATAGGATGAAGCTCTGTTTACCAAATTGATGTAGAACACAATAAGGGAGAGAGAGAGAGAGAGAAGAAACACCCAAGAGGCCATAGCCTTAAACACTCCCAATATTATTGAATCAAAACTGATTAATACTAATTTTCCGTCCAAATTTTAAATGATGAGTGATGAAGCACCACATTGAAGCATGAGTTTAAGTCCAAGGACTTAATTGCTACAATTAGAAGATGAATGAGCGAAGTGAAATTCAGATGTCTGAATGTGAAAAGTGTAACTTACCCAAAAGTTAAATACTGTGGGTATAAAATTTGCGTATAATTAGAATGTAAAATTTTTGTATTTGTCTCAAAATTTTGCGGATATCTAGCACCTATGAACTTTGTATTTGACTCAAAATGAAGCAACTAGGAGCAGGTCTGTCAATTATAAGGGAAAAAACATCATCAAATGTAAAGCATAAGACACCTGAATAATAGGATCTAGTAATGCAGATATCACCGGATCAAAGTCAGACTTCTTTCCTGAAGCAGGAACCATCATGCCATCATCCGTCTCAATTATCTCAAGTAGTACTGGTACTCCTTCCCTCACTGCAGGTGGTGGGGAAAGATCAACAGCAGCAAGGGGTGGATACCGTAACAGCTTCTCTTCTCGAGTTTTCAGGATGTCAAAGAATGTTTTCTGAGAAGCATCTTTTAGTGCCCAAAGTGTGTTACAAAGGGCTGTTTCTCTCCCCAACAAATCTGATATCTGTAAGAGAACAAACTGTTAAACAAACAAAGAAATACTCACAAGACAACTAATTCATCCAAAAATGGATTATCATTCAACTCACAGTATAGCTGTAAAACTCCAGGGTATTACTAAGTTTGTATGAAATTATAATACTAGGTTGCGACTGCAAAACTTGTTCAATTCTAACTTTAAATGGCCGGCAAACTCCTTCAAAAATCCTGTCTAGAACAAACGTCAAGTCAGTCTCATTTTTTCCTATATCACTCTCTAAACCTTTGGAGGAGAATCGGCGTGCAGCTGGGCCAGAATCAAACATTGCATCTGGATCTAGCAATGCAAGGACAAGTTCTCTTTCAGATGCCAATGCCTGCAAGAAAAGCGACAGAATTATGCTATAAGGTAATTCTTACACAATAATTCCCCCTTTTTTGGTGCTCTAGATCAGACTTGAATCTTGCACCTTCTTCTAGTGGGGCAAAAATCAAGTTTGGGCCAGGGTTTGTTTCTATACTTTTACAGAATAACATTGGCATCCCACATATCATATCCATTCCTTTTTGTCACTTTTTCAAGAGACTATCCACATAAATGCCTCACCAAGAAAAACAACAAATTACCTCCTCTGGTGGAGGAGAATAAAGAGGACTCCACTAGATTCAAACACCTAGACACAACATCCTCTAAAGCAAAATTGATGACTGCATTTACCAAAGTACCATTCTAGAGAAGGGCTTTGGAGATCCTTGTATCTCTTACAATTGGTTTCAAAATAATGCAGTAAAAGTAGTTTCAAAGGTTGCTGCAGTTGGCAGTGCCAATATGGGTTAATGAAAATTAAGAAAGAATTGCTGAAAAAGAAAGTGTTCTATTAGCGTCAGCTAAATATATACATTTGGTTAATATAATTATCCACTAAAAGCGTTAAAAATGGTGCAACCTTTATTGAGCAAATGAGCGATTAAATTGAATGTATTAAATGCAGATCAATTTCAATCATCCATTGCACTATTACTTTGACAAAATCATGTTAGTAACACGCTGAAATCACTCACCCACGGAAGGTAAGCTACTGTAAAAGTAAAGAGACCCCAGAAACTCATGTGGATAAAAGGATTTTGCTTGCTCCAAACATCGACCTGTAAAATGGGGCAAAATGTAACAAGCTTTCCAAAACAGTTAATGCATAAAGGGTTTATCAATTAGAAATGTTTTACATGTAAACAGAGAAACACTAACCATCATGAATGTCAATGAATTGCTCATAAATATTATCTTGGCAAATGACTCAGACACGTAAGGTATCATCCCCTCAATGAGAACAATCCCAGTTAAAACAGTAGCACCAAGTAAGAGCATGTCAAAGAAATCGGCAGTCCTTCCCTGGAAAGATAATTAATTTTTTTAAACTTATTTAAACTATTAGTAAAAGTCTAAACAATCTAAAATAGATTCTTACAATAAAAAATAAAGAACTCAAATAAACTCTATCAAACATAGACATACATGTGACGACGTCGGTCCATGAAGGTCTTAGGGTGGTCTGAGTAAGCACAGGAGATGAAGCAGATGGTTTCGCCAAGAAAAGACCATCCAAGAGTGCCTAAAGGAAGTGGGATTGGCGATCTTCTACAACACCTTTTCTTCTAAGTTCCACTAACTATCAAAATTATAGCATTAATTAGGGGGCTTAAAAAAATATAATATGCTGTTACTATAAGTTCCACTAACTATAAAAAAATTATAATATGCTGTTACTATAAGTTCCACTAACTATAAAAAAATTATAGCATTAAGTAGGGAGGCCCCATGGCTGCCTCTGGAAGGGTTCTATGAAATGTTTGAGATGATTCCATAGGAACTCCAAAGCCGATCATTGGTTTTGGAAGACGAATAGTCTCACTATCCTCACTCATCATCCTCTTCTCATACCTCATTTGCTTTTTCCTTTTCCAGAATTCTCTCTCAAAAAATTTCCTCTTTGGCTTCGGCTGTGAAATTTGAGAAAAGATCAATTACGCACAGAATTTACTAATGGCAGTATGAACAGAATTAACAAAAAAAATAAAAATAAAAACAAGGATCCTGGTGCATTAGTAATTAAAAAACAAACTATAAAAGCCGTAAAAATGTATGCCCCTATCATGAAAAGGGGTTAATTGAAAACCTGATGTTTCATTATGGGGAAGAAATACAAAAAATTAAAATAAAAAATAAAAAACTTATCATCATCAGGTAGTAGATAATCTGCTGCCTTTACCATTTGAGCAGCACATAAAAAATCTGTTATTTCATCAATTGAGGCATCTGGACCTGCAATATTTTATAGGCATTATTAAGAGAAAGATTAAATCTAATGAAATGCGCAATCTAATGAAAGATTAAATCTAAAAAATGATACCAGAGATCTCCAATGATACCACTTGCCTCTTGTCTCACACCACACACATAGCCACACAGAGAAAGACAGAGTGCACAGAGATGGCTGCACAGTGGTGAGATGGTGGTTGGAGTGAAACACAGATGAGAAGAAGATGAAAAATGAAAAAAAAAAATATATATATATATATATATATTAATGAGGAAAGACTCATATTCTCGAATGAGAAATTTCAAATCTCAAACAACTATTTTTGAATGAGAAATTTCAAATCTCAAACATATTTTTGAATGACAAATCTCAGATCTGAAACATATGAGAAATCTCGGATCTGAAATCTTAAACTTATGTAAACCCTAGGAGAAGAATCGATGGAAGGAAAAGCTTGCTAGAGAGAGAGAATATGAAATTGAGATTGTAGACGGTGGTGCTCACCTTAGTCAACGGTGGTGATGGTGGTGGCGATGGAGCTTCGAAATCGAGAGAGAGAGAGAGAGAGAGAGAGAGAGAGAGAACTTCAAAATCGAAATCACTCTGAGATTGGATCTGAGATGAAACCGAGCTGAATAGGGTTGAATCTTAATCTCTGAGACTGAAGGGTTTAGAGAGAGAGAGAGAGAGAGAGAGAGCGATCGAGTGAGTGAGAGATTTGAGGGATTGGTTTCTCCGAGACTGAAGGTTTCCCCAATTCAAAATGAGGGCTTGAAGAGAGTGAGAGAAGGGTTCTGATTCTCAAAGAGCTAAAAGAGACACGGAGGAATAACGTTGCTGTAATACATGTGAAGGCGTTAAAAAAACGACTTCTATTCCTTAAACGGTACCGTTTTCATCAAAATAAAATGTGACGTTTAAAAAATGTCGTTAAAGGTTAGAAACAGTGGTGTTTAAAAAAACGTCGCTAAATAAACGCCGTTAAATTCTATAATTCTTGTAGTGGTTGTTTGATCTGAAAAATCTTGTTCTACTCGTGATTTGAGCGTATATCTCCATGATTGTTCGAATCCCTATGATCTAAATCGATCTAGGGCTCAAGGTTAGGGTTTTCTGATATAGATTTGCTACATTCACACAAGATCTATAAAATTTCATGGCTAAAACAAACGATTTGGAATTGCTTTCTCTCGATTTAGTTGATTTCCACCTTTTTTTTGCTTTTGTTGTGTTTTCTCCTTTCGTTTTTGTTCCTTTATTTCTAGTCCTTGTGTGGAAAGCTCTTCTCTTTCATCAAATTGAGCAGCAGCAATGGTGAATCGATTTATCTAGGGTTTCGAGTGCGCTGTTAGTGTCTCTAATCATGTACGGGACAAGTAGTTGGCGTTGGATGTGGATCGTTGGTAACAATGAGTAGAAGCTCAACGATGAAGAGATGCAGATCTGCTCTCTCTAAGATTAGATCTGTTCTCTCTCTCTCTCTCTCTCCGATCTGCTAACATGGTAATATCATATATGCTTTGTCTCTCTTTAGTCCATTATTTTTCCTTTTTTTGGAATCTCATTTTGGCATTTCTTACTTTCTAACTCTCCTAATAATCATTTCTTGCTTTGTCTCTCTTTTCTGTAAATCTTCAATATTTTTATGGCTGATTTCCCCTTGCCCCCCTTTTTCTTTGGTGCCTTAATATAGTTGGTACAAGTGGTTTTGGAGGCATGCCAAGCATTTTTGGTCAGAGTACTTTTGGACAATCGTATGTGCTTCCATTTTTTGTTTTGTGGTCATGGACAATTCCTTTTTTTCATATGCACACATGACCATCATAATTAATTGCACATTGAAGTCTGTTAATTTCTTGTCCTTCCTAGAAGATTAAATCTCCCTGACCTTCACCTTTTTCAAAATCAACCCATTCACCGCAGTAGAAATTATACCATTTATACTTAACTTCCAATTCTTACACCTTGGTATCGAGTCTGGTAGCATTCATTTTGACGTTTAAGCATATTAAACTTGTGATGCAATCTAGTGGAGAATTTCACAGATCTAGTAAATCAAATTTTAAGTGTTCTTTGATTTACTGCTTGGACATCTGTCACTACAACACTATAATTGGACCTTTAAAACAAGCCAGAGAAAAGTGATCAATTAAAGCAGAGAGAAGCAAAGATAGAGAGAAAAAAAGGTAGTGTTTGAAGAAGGAAGAAATTGTTCATTTTATAATTGAAAAGTTAAAATCCTAAAACGTTGAACTAAAGAAATAATGTACAAACAGTGTTGCGAAAACTTTAAAATTGATGTTTACATTTAAGTAGTAAAATTTAGCAAGAATTCAATAGTTTGATATTGGAAGGACTTTTTATAACATATGTTCACATTCTCACTCATTGATGGATATGATTACGTTGTAATAGTAATTTGAAAACCCATATGATGGACAGCCAAGAAAAAGGAAAAAAGGAATGTAGGTGTTTGGCAGATGCTGTTTTTTTTTTTTTTGTTTTTTTTTATTTATTTTTTTGGGGGGTTGGGGGGGTGCATTTGCTAAAAAAACTGATGCATTTGACAAACTACTAAAAAAGTTGTTTTTGCGCCTGCCTTCTGTTTTTTTAAAAAAAAAAAACTGAGCTTTTTGGGTTTGTCATCTGAAAAGCATTTGCCAAACAAAATTGGCTTTTGGTCTAACAGGGCAAAAAAGCTGCTAAAACTTGTTTGCCAAACAGGGGCATGTGTCCATAGACAAATGCATGTGAGCATGTGTGTCATACCTGGAGGAATCTCCCTTCCAATTTGATCCACCAACATCCTTCAATAATTAGGCATTTATTGATTTACATAATAAGATACCATATATTAACAATGAAACTATCACGTGGACCCCTGTTGTTGGACTAAATGCAGATAAATTTTAGAACTTGTGATTACCCATAAAATTTTTGCATTCATTTATTATCTCTCTCAAAAGATCAGTAAATTTTTTTCCAACCAATTTTAATATGAAATCCTCATATGTGCATCTTGCATTTTATCATGTCGTTTACAATACCTGGTATTAGCTGCATGAAACTAGTTTGGATTTTCATGTTCTGATTTGTGATTGTAAGTTTGTTTACAATAAATGGAAAACCTGAGTATGAAGTGGTTGATGGTATTATTAGGACAATGTAGAATGTAGAAGTTTTAAGTATTTTGTTGAAGTTTTAAGTGGTGAGTATTAGGACAATGTAGAATGGATTTTCATTGTTTTAAGTATTCACCACTGGATATTCTAATCAGTCTGTCTTTACCTTTACAGCTGGGAGCCCCGTTCGTATCACAAATAAGAACTTCATTAACTATCTCTTCGTGCAGAGTTTGGAGGTTGCCATACAATATGATTTGCCAATGCAGATACACACTGGGTAATGCGTTTATGATTGTTAAGTGGTTTCATTTGATGCGCTTGATTGCTGAGACATTTGGAAGAAGAAAATAATAACTTGGAATGCTTTTAGAAGTTTGGTATGGGCTAGATGTTTCAAGATATCAACTTATTTCTTTTTCACCTGTCCTATTGTGATAGATCAAACAGAGAATTAAGGCAAATCTGTTTTCTCTTTTTGTAGTGCTTGTTTGACTTCGACTCTTTATTGACTACATTTTTTTGTTCATTCGTTCCTCGCATCAGTTTTGGAGATAAAGATTTGGATTTAAGACTCCCCAATCCCTTGCATCTCCACACCCTTCTTGAGGACAAGAGATTCTCTAAGTGCCGCTTAGTACTTTTACATGCATCCTACCCATTTTCAAAGGAAGCATCATATCTAGCCTCCGTTTATTCTCAGGTAAGATATTGAAGATTACAATGAACAATACGTTGGGATGTCTATCTTTGATGTTAAACTTGCTAGTTCTCTAACAAAGCAATGCATTCAATCTTTAGGTTTACCTTGATTTTGGGTTGGCTGTTCCAAAGCTTAGTGTTCATGGGATGATATCATCTGTCAAAGAACTTCTGGAGCTAGCTCCAATAAAGAAGGTGAGAACAGAACACATGCACTTGATGAAATATTGGAAGAAATGACTGCTTATTTAGTAAAGAAATCTCATAAAAAGATAAAGAAAATTAAAAAACTGGCAAAATTTGGCACGATAAATTTCTCAAGTTTAGAGGTCATAATTAAAGATTTTTACATACATAGAGGTAATTTTACATTCTATTCCAAATATTTTGGTAGTTTATGATCATCTACTATATAATCACATATTTTAGGCATCAATTTGCCTAATTGTAAGCATGCAAGGATTGTACTATATTGTATCATGACCTTTTGATCATATGCTGAGCTGATTTGGATCTCCTTAAGCGTAAGTACCAATAATGATTTGACTTGTGGGCACTTGATGGCATTGCAACTGGATTTTTCAAAGTTTATTTCAGTAGTAAGTCTGGCTAGGAATCTTTATCTAAAAGCCCAAAAGTTGTGTGAGTTAATGCCTACTGGCTTTATTTGAAGTACCTAATAGTTAATAGGATTTAAAGTATGAGGTCCAATGGTTGGTCTAGGAAGAGCTATAAATTGAGTTATATTTTGCATTGTGCTTATCAAGAGGGAAAAGAACAAAACATTTTGTCAGATTGTTCTCAAACCAGTATTGCATAGTTTCTTATTGGAACTTTAATGTGCAAGTTTTGGTGTTTTTTGATCTGAAAAAGATGGTTGAGCTATAATTTTTGCTTAATCATTGCCAATTCAGGTGGAAATAGTGCTACTGGAGCAACTGCTGGAGGTGTAGCTGCTGGTGTTGCCTTACTTTTTGCTGCACCAGCATTTGGGTTCGCATGGTGGCGCCAAAGGAAACCACATGAACATTTCTTTGATGTACCTGGTTTGTGCTCTTATCTGAAAAATAGGTTAAATTGTCCATTTGGATGTGTAATGTGTTCACTTTATACATCTTTCATCAGCCGATGAGGATCCAGAAGTCCACTTGGGACAGTTCAAAAGTTTTTCGTTACGAGAATTGTAAGTTGCAACAGATAGTTTTAGCATCTCTTTCTCGATCTCGATCTCGATCTCTGTCTCTGTCTTTGTCTGTCTCCCTCTCTCTCAATCTCTCAATCTCTCTCTCGATCTCTGTCCCTCGCACAATCGCGTTCTTTGCTTACACATTACCTGTACTTTTTTTTGGATAATTTTTTTTCTCCTAAAAATTTCTCTATACAAGTATATATATGAATTTATATATGTATCTCTATGTATTAATTTAATAATCATCATTATTTTGTTTTCAGGCTCTCGAATGATCCCATCGTTGATTGGCAATGACGGAAAAAAATCAACTCCTGTGAGAAAAGAAACCCTAACTTTCTCATTGGAGGTAAGTTCTAATGTATCGTTGTAACATCTCCATGGATTTGGTCCCAAGATACAATGTCTTTTCAGATAGAGTTAAAGTAGCATTTGTTATTAGTGATCCTACACTACAGGAAAAAACACTTTTCGTGACCAACATTTCTGGTCGCAGAAAGGTCAAATCTGGTCGCTAATAGTTTTTAGCGACCAAAAAAAGTTGGTCGCAATTTGGTCGCCAAAAGTCCGTCACAGAAGGTTTTTGGAGACCAAAAGTGAAGTTGGTCGCGGAAAATCATCATTTGCAACAACATTCTTTGGTCGCGGAAGGGACTTGAATTTGTCAAAATTGATCCTATTACGACTAAAAATTTGGTCGCTAAAAGTTAGCTTTTAGCGACCATCTATTTTGGTCGCTGAAATATAACCATTTGCGATGAAAATATTGGTCGCAGAAAGTGGACTTTTGGCTACCAGAATAATTCTAGTCGCAG